CGAGCCCTATTTTGTTTCTGTTGCTGAAACTCTCTTTGTCTTTCCATTGTTATCCAGTCTAGGATAGGTGTCAAGCTTTGTCATTTTAATAATATCTTACTACTGTCTTTAATTTCATTTGTTTTGCTGCATTACTATAAAAAATGTAAAACAAAAGGACAGCAAGCCAATAAAAAAAAATACCCAACCTCTATTAGTCAAACTCATTCAGTGTGCTGAGGGTTTTTGACAAACACAACCAAGATTACTGCTACAGTGAACTGGTTTTTTTTTTTTTTGTCCTTTTACGTGATATCAGCCCTGCCTAGCAATTCCTCTGTCTCCTATTCACCATTTTAAGCCTCTAGCATCATAATCTTTTGCTACTGTAGTGACTTTTCTTCAGTAGATAATATCAGCCTCTGATTTCAACAGCAAAAACCATTATATTCGCTAACTAATGCCTTAGTTCTCTAACACCAGCAAATGCATATTGTGTAAGGACTTGACTTGCTTCTTTTCTTATCCCTTCTTTTTGTACTCTGATGAGCCACACTCACCCACTTAAGGTCAAGAATACCAGCTACTCCTGCATCCTGTTCTCTACTTTTAGTTTCGTACTTGAAATCCATCATTACGCAACAAAATTCTGTTCTATCTTCTTCAACTCTCTCTCTTAAGTGACTTTTTCTCTTAATATTCAAATATGCTCAATTTATTTACATTCTAAATATTCTCCCCATATCTTCTCACACCTATTTATTTTCTGCACAAACATGTTAACCTTTTCACTTTTCATTTGTTTTTCCAGTTTTGTTCTTTAAATATTGGGTATTGCCATCCATTAACCTTCGTCGGTCCAGGAGCCTTGCATAACTGTCCACTGAAAGGCTTCACCAGCACCCAGTGAAAAGAGATGCAGAGATGCACAGCCGAACATGAGATGGAACTCACATAGTCTTATGGAAGACTTGGGGGAAGGATTGAGGACCCAAAGACATGGACTCCACAGGAAGATCAACAAAGTCAACTAACCTGGACACTAGGGGGCTCCCAGAGACTGAATCATCAACCAAAGAATGAGCGTGAGCTGGACATGGAGCCCCTGTATGTGTAGCAGATGTGCAGCTCACCCTTCATGTGGGTCCTCCAACAATTAGTGAGGGCTGTTCCTGAAACTTCTGCTTTCCCACCAATGGATCAGGTTCTCCTAACTGAACCGCCTTTTCTGGCTCCGGTAGCAGAGGATGAACATAGTCCTGCAGTAACTTCTTGTGCCATGGGAGGGGGGATTGTAGTGAGGGAGTGATGCACGGGAGGGCGCCCCCTTCCCAAAAGGAAAGGGAAGAATGGGAAAAAGGATCTGCATAAGGGCGTACTGGAAGGAGGGGAGCTAATATTGGGATGTAAAGTGAATAAAGAAACAAATTAAAAAGAGGTTCACCTCAATAAAAGTTTAGTTACTTAAAAATTAAGATTTGTCTGTCAATGGCAAGGGATTAGTGTGTGCTTGTACTATGCGTGGCTCTGGAGTGCTCACCCTGCTAAAACATGTAGTTTAATTCAGCTTAACCTCAGCATAAAATCCAACTGAAAGGACAATTTCAGAAAATCCAAATCATAATCATCAATGTACTAATGAGAGATAGGCAGGATAATAACAAAGCAAATGTGGCTTATGTAAGTGTAAATATATATCTATATTCAAAATGAAATTAATATATTCTAGAAACAGATGAGACATTAACCTGAATGAAAATCTAGAAAGTAAAAAATGTATTTTGTATTAATATGTTAAAAACAGCAATTCAAAGATATCTACTATCATTATTTCCAGTAATTATTGTCTTTAGTTTCCAAGTACACACACACACACACACACACACACACACAAATAATAGTTCTAAAATTACAAATAAGAAGCAAAAACCATCATTAAGTTCAGGTGATAGAACAATCTGCAGTAAATGAATAAAGATGTACAGATGATTTTTGAGAATTAAAAGTTGAATGAGAAAGTTGAATATAAAAATCCATTAGAATTATTATTATTTTAATATCTTAGCAATAAATGGTAAAAGAAAGTTAAAATATGTAAATTTTTAGTCACAGAATATAAATTAAAGGAGAACTCTCCCAAACAAACCTCCAAAATATTTCTTCATGATATTAAGGATGGTCTATAAAGTTACATTACAAGAAGACTGTACAAATGATGATGTATTACATTGTTCATTTCTGTGAATATAAACTTTGAGACTAGGCATGATGTACGTCATAGGATGAGGGTGTAGATAACAATACCACCCTATAACTCCTCCTTCCAGGATGAGATAACACTGGTGAATACAGTTATCAAATGCATAGTACACTTAATATTGCAGAGGGTTTGCATTTAAATCGCATCTGAAAACAACTGCAAACATGCTGGCACTTGAAGAATGGAATTTCATTCTTTTCTTAATCCATTTCTTCAAGTGAGTTAGTAGAGACTCAATGTAAGGCAGAATACGAACATTTACAAGATACCTGATTGGTACATGTCTCAGAGTGGCAAGTGTTGTCTGAATAAGAATAAACATCAACAATCATAGAAGAAATTCATAGTAAAGGCAAATTTAAATGTTCTAAGAATGCTATGAAAACCAAGTTTTTAGGGAAAAAATAATTTTTGTCATTTAATCAAGTAGCAAAGGACAAATTCTCCAAGTGTTCACTGGACCGCTGTACACATCCGAGTATCAATTCTAAAAGTAAAGGACATATCTATCTTCCTAAAGAGATAACAACCAAACAAAGAACAAAACTTGAAAGGGAAACAAAGTCAAAGAGAAATCTGAGATGCCCAAAGAAGGAAGTAGAGTCCTTTATAATCAGAGAATTTAAATAGAAGCCATGAAGGTGTATGACTATATCAAGAAATTGATATGGCCGCTAACATTGGGGAGCCTTCCTTTATGACAATATTACACCCCAAACTGACAAATGGTTGGTAACTTGAACATTTACAAGGGACTAGGATGGCTGTGAGTTAGCCCAATGACAGGATTATTGTAGGTCCACTTCCCAGGGGCCCACCCAATGCAGCCGAAAAGGAGTGCGTGGTGCTGGGAGTGGGTGCAGCCTACATGGCCTAAGACAGGGCTCTCACCCTCCTTTCACCCACCTCGGGGTCCCTTGACGTTGCCCATCTTAGACAGCCTAAAGCCTCCGACCATCGATGTGACTCATCTCACATCAATATTTTGGGGTTGTGAACTTGTCTAAGACCCCCCATAATTAGACATCCAAATTCAAAACTCACATAGTTGGGATTGATCATAAGACACCTTCTCTAACTAAACAGAGAAGGGGGAGATGCCAGAAGCCAGGACCCTAGCCCTTACCCTCACCCCCTACCTTTCCCCACCTTCACAATGTCCCCTGAAGCTTGGCAACTGCAAGATCCTGCTTGGCAACTGCAGATAGACTCAAAGCAGTGTACCATATCTTCTGAAGAATAGCAGGGAGACCATAACTCAAGTAGTGTACCATATCTTCTGAAGAATAGCAGATAGATCATAATTCAAGGCAGTGTAGACCATGACATGTTTCAAGGCACAGGCCAAGAAGATTCTGTACTTTTCCACCACATAACCCCTCTTACCCCCTCCCCTTGTAAAACATGCTATAAAAAAAGCATTTCATGTTCAAAAAAAAATTAAAGAAAAAAAAGAAATTAAAGGAAGCTTAGTAGTCTAACAAAACAGGAAGTGTTTCGCTCATGTGATGGCAATAACTTATTTACACTGCTCTGGTAAATGAAAACTGATGTATTGCAATTATGGGTTTGATGTTATCCAGTAATGGTTAAGGCATGTGTCTTCTATTGTAATTCTATTCTTGCACATGAAAATATATGCACAAGAACAGTAGTATATAGTCAATAAATAAATGTAGGAAGACTGCAACTGCCTTATTGTGTAAACAGTGTAATTAATTGTGTCATATTTATTTAATATAAAAAGGGCAACAATATACATTAATGTATTTCCACTACATGCCTGAGCAAGGATGAATCAGGCAAACAAGGTAGAAATTTTGAAGCCGGAGAGAGAATATGTAAGACTGAGTACACGACTGAATACTGGCAAATTCTGTTTCATTGGGTGACAAAGAAATAACCCCATGATCACATTAAATTCGGAGTACAATATCAGATATGCAATAAAAGGAATGTGTCAAGGATTTTCTCACACCTGTTTTTATTTTTGAAGCATATCCAGAACCAGTTACCCTCAACACAGTCAACTTCAGACACCCAGACTTTTAGAGCTATCACCTCTGTATGAAAACTTACCTGCAGTTTTCCCTTACAAAAATGTTGAAAAATGGCAAGTTCAAAGTACAGAAAAGTCATTTCTCCAAGGACTTTTGTAATTCTCCTTGAGAGAGCAGTAGTCATGAAATTCTGTCAAACATCCTTTATTGGTACTTAGCTGCCTCATTACGTGATCTGCAGAATATACTAAGGATCATTTCCTGTAAAGTATAATCTCCTGACTACAGGCCACACACAGAATTCTACCATAATGAAACTTTCTATAGCTGACTTTCAATACTACTGTATCAAACTTACTGTATCAAACTTACTCAAACACTTACTCTGAGTTTGTACATGTCACAAGCTGAAAATCAAACAGCTAGGCTTTGCCTAAATATTTAATTTAGTATCTCATAAAGGCATTAATAAAATGACTGAAAGGTGATACAATTTCCCTAGGCAAGTACTATGTTATTTCTCTTCAGTTAAATTATTCTAAGGTATGAATCTAATTAATTGTTCTATGTACTTAGGTATCTTAGAGTACTCTAAACACCCAACTGTCTGTCTAAGGAGTGCCCTCCTTCCTGTTTCCTGCTCACAGTCTCTTTTAGAACGCATGCATTTTAACGGCACTGTGATCACGCTGCAGAGAGAGAATTACATTGCAAAATCACAACAGTATAGAGAAAAGAAATTATAACAAGTCTAGGCTTACTTTACGGACACCCCTGCCAAGTTCTTCTCCATAGTTGGTTCCAAGGATTTCGAAGTGGACATTGGGGTTACCTCCATTTTCTCCAAATTCTAGATCTCCAGTCAGTCCATTAACTCCACCCTAGATGAGGGAACAGACATATTTAAAAGTTCAGAAAAATCAACCAATTAATAATAAAGGATAAAAGAAGTTATAAGCACTTGCTATTCATAAAATAAAATTTCAAAGAATATGCTTATTAATGGACTAATTTTAGTAGATTCACAACACACCCAGGAGTTCTTTCTGTTAAAAAGTCATCAGAAGTGGCTTAATTCAATCTCATCCACTTGTCCTAAAAAATAATTTAGGCTCTATGAGCCAATGACTATTCCAAATGGCGTCTGGTTAAAGCTGAGACTCAGCTCCACAGTGAAGATATGGCCATTCATGCATAGCACCACAGTACGGAAGCACTCAGGAAACTAAAAGAAGCTATTCTGGACACAATTCCAGTTAAATTTGATCTAAAACTATACCTAGGAATTTTAAATTGCATCACATAAAACTTTGTAGTTTATTTTCCCCTGTGAATTTATTTTCCAACCAAGACCAATAATTGAATATGTTGTTTCCAAAAGATCAAAGAGAAGAAATACGGCATTAGCCTGATTTATATATGAAGCAATGTATGTATATCTATAAATTATCTCAAAATATTGTATTGTATTACATTAATATGTACAACTTTGTTTTTATATATTAGGTAAAAAGATTAATTTAATAAATTATATATTTATATAAGGAAAGGTAAATTGGGATAGACATTATTTTTATGCTTTCCACTGTCTTTGCTGGCATTGAGACTCTGGGAGTTTCCAGACTCCATCGTTCCTTCACTCTGGCAGATATTTGCCTTGTGGTCACATGGGTCGTACCTGCTCCTTACTGTTCTTGTTCACTTTGATCTATCGACCTTCACCTTACTTAGGATTTTAAACTCACTGCGATGTTCACAGTCACTTCAGCATTACTGTGTGCTCTGGGAAGAAGAATTTTGGCTCTGTAATGACATTTATTTTGACAACAAAGAATCTCAGTTTGTGAACTGCCCCAGTTATCATCTCTGCAGTGCTGATGCCTAAACATGTAACACTTGTCTTTACCTGTAGCTCCATTTTTGTCTTTCTTGGCTGGTTTTATGCTGTCTGCTCCATCTCACACTTCCTCTCTGCCTTCTAGACACCCACAGAATACCTACTTCATAAACAACGTTCAGATAACTATTGTAAACTTAATGTTTCGGATTTTTATTATGAATTCCCTTTTTCTTTCTTTGTTGTTTCTCACACACTGCCTTCATTGTAAACAACAGGTGGAGGTACCTAGAAATGGTAAAAAATTATTGTACAAAAGCAGGGACTTGGTCAGCTGCCTGTTGGCTGCCCTTGGGCACTCAGAAGTAGATGCTAACCCTAAGCAGGAGAAAGAGAACTTCAAACTTCAAGAATACTGAGGCGACCAAGGAGATGAAGAGCTCTTTGTAAATACCATGTGTGTACTTGGTGGTAGTGACCTTGTAAACAAAGAAGCAGGCAGTGAAGAACATGCTAAAGGCTAAAGTACCACAGTCAGGTGTGGGAAGCAAGCCAGGTTCACCGGGCTAGCATAGCTACTCAAGGGCTTGAGCTCCACTTTGCTCCACACAGAATAACTGTGTTCCACCACCAGAAGAACACACTGGCAGGGGCAAGTGCTCTCTATTATGAATCCCAATAGTCAGCCTATTTTATTTTTACAGCAGTATAATTAACAGAACAAGTTTTTCATCATTACTTCCTTGATTAAGACAGGAACTTAAATTATCTAGTTGTATCATGGATGAAATATGTTGAATTTTATCTGTCCGTGGTCTTTTCATAGGAATTATCAGTGACAAGCAGAGGACTTCACCAGTGGCCTAGGAATATAACAGCTGTACAGAAACCAACCAACTAGCTTACCTTTCCCCTGTCTCAGAATCTATGTATTTTAAATGGAGAATAAAGCTTTTATATCAGAGTGTTATTTCTGCTATACATATAGCATGACAAGTTTAAGTAAAGCAGAAGAGTGCTTTCAATGTTGAGAGCTTAGCTGCAGTTGTTTGCACCATTATGGTCAAGTGTTTTTTCTAGTCCTTATTTTTGCAGACCTTCTAACTCTATAAAATGCAGTTCATCACTTTGCCTCCTTGTCAGTTAAAGTTTAAGATTCAATTTGTTTATATGACTCTTGTAGGAGCATGTGTGTTTTTGTACACACATGTAATGGTGAGAAGTCCTTGGAGATAGAATTTCTGGATCCAACATGAGAAGAATGGGCCTGAGGAGCTGTGCAGCACGCTCCATCCCCTCAGTCATTTGCCTGTGCTCCTTGTTTGCTTCTATATATATACAGAGAATATATCCAAGTGGTACAATTCAGTTTTATACCATGCATGAAGTCAGTATTAGTGTGGCAAACCATCCAATATCCCTTACAAATTTAAATGAAGAATAGAGTGAATTTCATTATCACTGATATCTCCAAGTTGAAAATATATGTATGAATATAGCATACATCATTATATATAAGTTCCAAATATCATAATTCTAAAAAATCCTATTTAAAGAAACTTATTATATGTATTTATTCATTGGGGCAAGGCACCTGCCACATTGCATGATTGGAGAGCAAAGAGTACCTTGTAGAAGTTAGCTCTCCTCTTCTACCATGTGAGTTCCAGAGTTAGAACTCAGGTGATCGGGCTTGTAGGTAAGGTGCTCAGACATCTCACTAGCCTATAGAATCTTTCGTGCAAGAGTAAAGGTACATAGCTTTCATGCCAGCACCTGGGATACAAAGGCAGGCAGAACTCTTTAGGTTGGAAGCCAGCATGGTCTGCATAGTGAGTTCCAGTCCAACCATGGCTACATCATGTTCCTCTGTCTCAGAGGAACAACTACAAAAAGCTCTTATTCTCATTCTATCTCAAAATATCTCCTAACCACATGAGAATTCTGCTTATTGTCTCACTTCTAGCAAGAGGGAAGGGATAGCATGTTCTCATGATTACTATATGGAAAACTCTAGCCCCAGAAAGTTTTAAACATCCAATCACTCTTTTACGTTCTTAGTCATCCCAGTCGGTAGGCTATGGCTGTGCAGGACCAAGTCTTCCTCTGCAGGAAGCAGCTTGCACTGTGTGACTTAATGCATTTACAGAAAAAAAAAGCATAAAAACCATAAATCAGAGGACTTGCACTTAGTTTGCTGCAGCCCTACCTTGCTCACCTCTTTGACTTTGTAATTTATCTTCTTCTTGCTCTATCATTAATGAGCTTTTGACATGCATAATCAGAGGATTCTGCCCTGAGGAAGTTGTCTAGGATGCACAAGAGGTCAACACTGTAAGCAAATAAGCCTTTTAAACAACATTCTTTGTTATCTCAGCCAGATTTAACCTGATTTTTTTGTTATTTGTTTTGAGATTCCAGTGCTTTTGATTTGTTTCTTCATCTATCTTCTGATTAACCTTAAAAGTAGAGGTTGGCAAAAGCATTCTGGCTGGCGATGATGAATGAGCATTGCCTTTGTGTACTCATGGTTGTATTTATAAATCTCATGGGGGTACAGAAGATTCTAAACAACATAAGCTAATTGGTCATTGATAAAGCAAACAGCAAACTAGCATCCTGTATGTTCTTTACACTGACTGTCAGGTCTTTAGCTTAAGGATCTTTAAAATACTGAGTATGCTACTTTGGATTTTATTCTACACACATAATATAGAAATATCATGGAAAACAAATAGAAAGAAATAAGAAAAAAGAAAGAAAAGTTAAAAATGGGAGAATCAAAGCTTGAGAAATATTTATCACTAAATTTAAATAACAAATTTCTAAGTAGACCAAAGTATCTTGTTCTCCTGTAGCTTCGAAAAATTGAGGGCAAAGACTTTATGAAAATGATTACTCAGCAGAATGAAGGACCCTGTTTCCAAATCCATTCTGTTAGCCTCTGCCTTTTTATCGTGGAATTGAGTCCATTGATGTTGAGAGATATTAATGATCAGGAACTGTTGATTCCTGTTACTGTGATGTGTATGGTAGTTGAGTGTGTGTGTGTGTGTGTGTGTGTGTGTGAATGTGTGTGTGTGTGTGTGTGTGTGTGTGTGTGTGTGCTGCTTTGCTGGTGTGGAATTATTTATTTCCTGTGGTTTCTTGGGTGTAATTAGCCTTCTTTGGTTGAAGTTTTCCTTCCAGTATCTTCTGTAGGGCTAGATTTGTAGATAAATAATGTTGAAATTTGGTTTTGTCATGATAGACATGACAAAATACATAGTCCTTCTATGGTAATTAAAAGTTTTGCAGTGTATAGTAGCCTGGGCTGACACTGGTGGTCTCTTAGTGTCTGCAAGAATCTGCCTAGGCCCTTCTGGTTTTGAGATTCTCTGATGAGAAGTTGGTTGTTATTTGGATAAGTCAACCGTTATTTGTTACGTGTCCTTTTTCACTTGCAACTTTTAATATTCTGTCTTTGTTCCATACATGGAGTGCTTTGATTATATGGCGAGAGAATTTGCTATTCTGGTCCAACCTGTTTGGTATTCTGTAATCTTTGTATATGTATGTAGGCATATTTGTTTTTAGGTTGGGAAAATTTTCTTCTATGATTTTGTTGAAAATATTTTCTGGACCTTAGAGCTGGGAATCTTCTCCTTCTTCTATTCCTGTTATTCTTCAGTTTGGTTTTCTCATACTGTCCCAGATTTCTTGGATGTTTTGCATCATGAACTATTTAGATTTAGCATTTTCTTTGACCAATGTTTCTATTTCTTCAATCATATCTTCTAGGTTTAATTTTCTCTTCAATCTCCTGCATTCTGTTCTTGCTTGTGTAGTTCCCTTTTTCTTCCTTAGGTTTTCATGTCTTTGTTTGTGTTTTCTATATTGAATCTATATCCATTATCAAGTCTAGAACAGTTTTATTCACTTCCTTCACCTATTTGATTGTATTTCCTATATTTCTTTATGGGATTTATTAATTTACCCTTTAAAGACCTCTATCATTTTTATAATATTGGGTTTAAGGGCATTTTCTTGTGCCTTGGCTATGTT